CCCCCCCCCCTTTATAATTTTGAAACCAAACTCTCTGTGAACTACATAGACCTTTTCTGTCCTTCTGGTAAATTTTCACTCTGATGGGAAGTTGCTTTAACAAAACACAAAACAAATCAATTCTTAGTACAGTGTATAGTTACTAGTGTCCATCTGTTCCACGCCCTAAAGAGCCCATATACTGTAACACGCAGATGGCAAATGCCAAAGTAATGACTTCATTAACTGTAAGGGATATAGCCGACCCAATAATATACATGACATATTTAATGTTTCTGTATAATCGCTCCGTTCCCTTGCAGACCATGTACGTAGGTTCCCAATGTAACTGTTTGTTAGGACTATTAAAATTCTGCATAACAAGGTTTTTCTTTTTAACAAATGAATCAAAATTTATTGTGTTTGCCCCCTCAAGGAAAAGTGTTACCAATTCAACAAGGAGAGAGCTTAGACCGCTGAAAGGTCATAGAGAAATTTTAGTAATTTGCAACGAGCCAAAAATTGGTTTCCACCAAGCATTTTGAGAAACGAATTTAGCTCTGTAGTTTGCTACAAATATGGGAGCTACAATACTGCAGGAGGTGCAGAGGAGGCGCGGTGCCCAGGTTTAGGAAAACGGTCATATTAATAAAGTCTTGCTACAGTGACAACGTCCAGGTAGGTAACAATTTAGCAAAAATTTGCAGCAGCCATATTTAGTGTCATAGGTTTTCTGGGAGGTCTGAAGGCTCTGGTTACATTATTCTGCCCAAACTGTCTCATATACTCACGTTCGCATCGGTCTTCAATGGGCCGAGTTACAACCGGTGAACACACTTGGCCCACTTTTGCACACACTGATCTATAACTCTTCTTCCCAGCTTATAACTGGGTGAATGCCATTCCCGCGGCACTACTATCACTAGATGGTGCTGAGGAGCGTAGGAATTTTAAAACTTTTTGGACTCTCAGTTCATTAGGCTGAGGCACCTCTTGGACTTCATATACGTAGTTTACAAACTTTATTTAAGAGGCACCCTGTTTGCAATTAAGGGCAGCCTCCCCGGGCCATTGCGCCCCATGAGTTTGTTCTTCAATCATAATCCAGTGATGAGTCAAACCAAAAGCCCTAGTAGTACTTCTCATCCTTTTTTAAGTCATGGCACCCTTTAAAAGTCTGCAAAGTTTCGAGTCACTCTAGTCTAATATGTAATAGATTTTAATGGGGGTAACCCCATACAAAGGCTCAAAGTGGGGTACCATAGGATCTACAAATTCATAAGGAGTCCACCCTTCACATCAGCAGCCCTCTTTACATCAGAAGCCCCCCTTCACATCACAAGCCCCATTTCACATCTGGAGCCCCCCTTCACATCACAAGCCCCATTTCACATCTGGAGCCCCCCTTCACATCAGAAGCCCTCTTCACATCAGGAGCCCCCCTTTACACCAGAGTTGTTCCCCTTTTACATCAGAGCCTCCTTCCTGGTTGAGAAAGGCTGCAGTAGTTCATAGTACTAACCCAAAATGCCCTTGGAAACAAAAACAACCTACAGTTATCATCAGGAGCTCACATCTGAAATCAATGCCTAAGGGGTGCACAGGCCGGATATACCATGGGGCAGATGAAGCTTTTGCCTATAGGAGGTGCACTTTTTCCCCACATACCTGTAGGCTACACATTTTTTTTTCCCGTTGAGTCTCAAAAAAGCTAATTTACAAAAAATATTCTATGCAAAGAGAGGATAAAAAAGTAACCAGTAAAAAGGATAATCCCAACACAGGGTATGGTTTGGGACACCAGAGCTTGTGTGCCTACAGGCCCAAGCATGGAAATCCAGCCCTGGGTAACCTTTATATCATACATACGTCGCAGCCTTTCCATATTTAGAAACAAAGCATACATCCTACATAAAATCCGACATTCCCACGCAGCAGTACTGCCCGCCCTGTGTGCGGCCTTTAACAGTAGCTGCATTTTTTAATTTTTTTTTTAGGTGACACATTGGCTTCCTTACCTTGCTCAGTCTGCTGCATCCCCACTGAGTTGGCGCTGGTGTTGAGCACGTCGTTGACAGCGGTGTCACAGTACAAGCCCCGCTGGACGTCATGTTCGCTGTCGGTCTGGTCACTCTCCTCGTGCCCGCTGTCCTTGAGACTGTTTCCCTCTAAGTCCTTGAAGGTGGAACTGCTGGGTTGAAGAAGAAAACAATGAATTAGTGTCATGTCAACTTTCATCACGCAAAATGTTTCCTGACTGTAGCGGGTAATGGTTCATCCCCTGGGCTAAAAAAGCGCACAGAGGGATGACATGTCCCAGTAGGAGCTGCAGCTGTAAACCTGGAAAAAAAATTTCTAAATGCCTACTGCCACTGAGAATCAGCTTGTATCCTTTAAGATGGACTCAAGAAAATAATAGAAAAACACCTTTCCCTTGTCCAAAGTATGGGCGTGTAATGGGGAGCACCTAGCGCAAATGTTTACATCACTTAAAAAGTCTTTTGACACATTTATTGGTTAAGAGCATCATATACAGCCAACATGTATCGGGACAGCCTGCTGTACACAGTGCCTGTAGGATACCCCAGTAACCATACAGCCTTAACTCAGGTTCCATTCCATGCTGATGTTATTACCATTCATTGCTCAGGCCATGAAGAATGGGGAGTCCTTAGTGTTGGCTCTATCTGATGTTCCTAAAGTGGAACTGAAGCCAAAACGTTAGTATTGGATAGAGTGGAGAGGGATTAGAACACCTGTCAGGTCTTATTTGCTGTCTGTGTCCCCATTAGGGAGATTCACCCCTCCATTTGTCCTGTTGACCATTGTCATTGAACGTGAAAGAAAATCCCAAATGTTGTCATCAGAACAGGAAGAGGTGGGAAATCTGCCAATAGGGATACTGGTTCTGGTGACCACCAGGGATTTCCCTCTCTTTGGAGTGATTTCCTCTTTCTGTTGTGGCTGTTGGACAAGAAGTGAAGGAAAATCTCCCCAATGGGCGCTCCTCATTGCCATCCATCATCGATCATCTGTTGAGCATGTTGTCCTAATCAGAGAGGTAACAGCCTAGGACCAGAACAAGGTCCACATTTACTGTGCTTGTTCCACAGCTCTGCCACCTTGAAGGAGAACACCCTTCACTATACATTATATGGCCATTATATCAACACTCAACACTTGAAGTCTCAAAATAACTTTACAATTTGGCCAATTTAGTAACCTTAACGATGAGCTGCCGTGGACCATGAAAGTAAGTTTAGGAGGAATAGAAAAAGTGATTTTTTTTTTTTAAATAGGAAGAACAAAAGTTCAGCATGGGAGTCACCAGTGGTGATGTCACTAATAGTAAGCAGGGAGAGGGGAAGTGGGCGGGGCAGTGTCACAGAGTCTTTGGAATCTGAAAATTAGAAATTAGAAAAGCGCTTCTGCCCTCCACTGACTAAACAGCTATATCATATGGTGGTGATGGGGAGATTACAAGAGGATGGGCCTCAGGGGTCAAGCCACTTATTAGGAGTTGTCCTTTAAAAAGAGACATTGTTTGAAAAAAAAGTAAACTATTAATATGAGTCTTTCTACAAAATATTTTCCTTTTTATTGTAGCTCTGTAGCTATAGTATTGGATCTATCTATCTATCTATCTATCTATCTATCTGTCTGTCTGTCTATCTATTATCTGTCAATACATCAATCTATGTGTCGTTCTTTCTATGTACCATTAACCTACAGACGGTCCATAAAGTAAAGAGCGGCATTTGATAACAACCTTTGTTTTGTTGCAGAGCGGTGTTTGGTGTTAAACCTGACACCGGGGGAAGCATTATGTGGATCAGTAAGTGAATTATCCGGCATTATGCAATCTTATTATCGTGCGGTATCGATGTAAGTGTTGAAGGCTAATACAAAGCTTGACATTAATATTGATAATAAACCGGAATGTCAAAACGGCAACAAATTCCACGGCTGGATAATGAAATCACACTGCCGTGTATTAATAAACTGCAAGTATCATCTTCACCAGATCCCCAGGAACGGCCTGGCGGAAGGTGATTTTTGCAGCACTGAACTGGAGAGAGATATTCCGTTGATGTTCACATCATTACGGGGGGACAGCTGCACTATGGAGGAACATATGTCAAGGAGATCGATGCAGGAAGGGCCATGCATTT